AACAGATACTCAAGGTGTACTTGGCAAATGTAGTGTGAGCTTTGTAATGTATGGGATTAGAATTTTAAAGATGCTTCAAGTTGTATTTGTACAGCTTGTCACAACCTGAATTAGAAGTCTTTTTAATTTCATATCATTTTAAAATTAAATATGTAACATCCCATTTCAGAATTTGTTCACTATAGTGGAGAGGTAGAAGCCAAAAATATGGTTCAAATCCTTATAAGGAAATTAAAAGGCCACTGTTTGGCAAAAAATGGGCAGTATTTTCTATGAGTAGCCCATGATTTTATAACTCCTGTGCCTAAATATTATCTTAACCTACAAGCTTACCAATCTTTAGTACCTGAGTATACTAATTTCTAGCCAAATTGTTCTTTCTACTTAATTCTATTAACATAGAAGCAGCATTGGACTCACTTGTTTTCAACTAAATGCTATGGATAGGTAGAGGGGCCATTTATAATGTGTGCTGATGCAGCTGGGATATTGCATTACTAGCCTAGGAGTTCCGAGGACTGGTTATTTTTAACTTTCACCTGAGCAAATATAACTCAGTTTGTTGACCTGAATTTATCTAGCTTCTTCTTAAAAAGACAAACTCTATTAGTCCCTAGAACCATGCTGGTGACTAAGTCAGGTCTTCCTTACTATACCTATTAGTTGATTGCAGCTTTTCTGAATTTACAGATAATTTAACTTCTTTCATTTGCACTTTTCTCATACAACAAAATCCCTCACATTTTTTTAAATTAAAGATAAATCAAACTTGTTTTGATTTTTAGACAGTTTGTGATCCTTGAAATCACAATTTTGGCTAGTCAATGAAAACACCTTTTGTAGTGGGCAACTAGCTACTAACCAAAGGTTTGTTATTAGTTCACTTTATACATAAACAATACCTAAGAATTCTCTCTTAATATAGGTAGCTGTCTATAAATGAGCCATAAATATATTATTGGGAGGAAATTATCTGTCCATGTCTGAATATTAGGATGTCTGTTTACTTGTTCAAACAAAAGTATTTTGCCTTTTGAGCACTACTAGAAAAATTAAACATGTTGAAATATCTTTAGGTATTAAACTTATACAAAAGAGAACTAATTTATTGAAATGAAGAAAAATCTTTGTGATTCCCATACTATGACTCAAGATGCACTTGAAGCTTCTCCAAGTTCATTGCCATGATCTTTATGAAAATATTAGTATTCCTAGAATTTTTTTTCTTTATGCAAGAAACATTAGATTAATGAAAGAATGAAAATATTTCAAGCTGCTACAAAGGCAGGCGTTCATTGTGCCCATTAAAAATGCAGCCTTTGTGCCCATAAAGTGTTCAGCTTCTCTGTTATTAAGTTTGGAATGTGGTTTTGGAGCTTAGTTGAGGAACTCAGCTAGTTACTTTTCATTTTGCTCTAAGAAGGGAGAAATTTGTTTTTTCAAATGAAAAAAATGGTTAGGTTCATTTTGGAAGAATAGAAGTTTTAAAATGTAGTAACTGTTTTCTGCAGCAAATAGTCAGTTTGAGTATGTTAGCCAAAAATAGAATTCATGACTTTGTGTCTCTATTTATTTCTCCATCTTAAAAAAGGATACAGTTAAATGTGCTATTTAGTCTTCCTGATGCCAGTGGGCTATTTAGCTGAGTCAGGATAACCAAAGTTTGATTGATTCATATTTCTAATAATAAGTTAGAGATCTGAATTTAGAAGGGTTAGGTGTAAGATTTTTTTGTTTGTTTGTTTGTTTTGTGATACAGTTTTGAGCTTTGAAGAAAAACTTCCTGGCATAGATTAATGGTGACTCAGTGTTGCAGTGTCCAGGGTACCACACTGAAAGACTTTCAGCTAGAGTGTAGTGTGCTGTGTTTCCTGGTAAGTTTTAGTAGGCATGGTCCCAAATTTCTACAAATGTAACATTTTACTACTCAAAATATTACCATGAATATAGATATTTAGGAATAGAAAAAGATGTGCTTTTAAACTTGAGTACACACTTTTTGTCTCCTAAAGGACTTTGCTCCTGCTTTACATGTTCCTCTACGTGCTATCTGACTCTATTAAATAAAAGATGGGACCCTCCCTGGTGGAGTAGTGAATTAAGGCACAGCACTATGAAGCTGGCTGCATCCACTGCAGCATAAGTTCGATCCCTGCCAGGGAGGTGACCCACATGATGCAGCAGACCTCTCCTGTCTTGCCTGCTGCTTCCCTCAGCAGCGTACTTCATCAGTCTACCTATTCTGCTCCCCACTCAGTCTCTGGGGAGCAGAGACTGCCCAGAGACTGGCCTGTACCCCAGTTCTGTATGCATAAATAAATAAATCTTTGGAAAATAAAATCTAAAATATGATTTCTGTCCATAAAAGTTCTGAAAGCACAGTATACACAGAATTAAACATTTTTAAGTTGTATCCTAAACCATCATTTATAATATTTTCCTTTCACTACTGAGTTTAAGAAAAAACATATATATATATATATATATATATAAGTTGTATCCTAAACCATCATTTATAATATTTTCCTTTCACTACTGAGTTTCAGAAAAAACATATATATATATATATTTTAAAGATTTATTTATTTATACATACAGAACTGGGGGTACAGGCCAGAGGTGCCGGGGCGGTGAGAGGAGTCACCAGAGACAGAGCAGGAAGCAGAACAGGCAGATTGACGAGGTAAACTGTGAGGGGAGCAGCGGGTGGGTCAGGAGAGGTCTGCTGCGCCATG